CAAGAAGGGCAGAGGGAGGGGAAGATGTTGATGACATAGCACTGCCTTGTTTGACCTCATCTGGGAGCATATGTGTTGAGCGATTCAAATTTTCCCCACTCTGAGCATGTGTGCAAATGATTGCTAATGCATTGTGAGAATTGATTTGGGGGTTATAAGTGAATTTTAGGGATATTAACTCTTTGCTTTTTATAAGCTGAACATTTTTTCTAGGTTTTCATTTGTATTTTTTTATTTGTATATTATTTGTATTTTCATTTATATTATAGTTTTTACTTTGTAATTTTTTTTTAAGATTTTTATTTATTTGACAGAGATCAGCAGGCAGAGAGGCAGGCAGGTGGGGGGAGGCAGGCTCCCCGCCAAGCAGAGAGCCTGATGTGGGGCTTAATCCCAGGACCCTGGGATCATGACCTGAGCCGAAAGCAGAGGCTTTAACCCACTGAGCCACCCAGGTGCCCCTACTTTGTAATTTTTTATGTAATAAAGTTTATATTTTTCTATTGCTTCAAACTTTTAGATTTAACAAAGCTTCTCTACTCCCAGTAGAAGAATTTGCCCTTTTTTCTAGTATTTGTATACATTTTTTTTTTTTTTTTTACCATTTAAAGATCTGGTCCTTTGGAATTTATGCTAGTATTTCGTATTTGGAGTTAGTACAATTTTACATTTTCCCATATAATCTTCTAGTATCTCAAAAAGTTCATCATTTTGCCTATTAATTTAATATTCTGCCTTTATCGTATAAATTTCCATATAAAATTTGGTCTATTCATGTGTTAATATCAAATGGTTTTATAGTTTTTTATTATGTAGAAGCTTTAGAGTATGTTTTAATGGCTCCTAGGGCTGGCAGTCCCTCTTCACCCTGTCCCTACTTTGTTGAATTTTTATGTTGTTTTCCAGGATTTTCCTAGCTATTCCTTATTCTCTATGGGAACCTGTCATTTCAAGTCAACTTGCATATCACATAAGAGCTTTTTATTTGGCTCTTTATTACTTCTTCCCTGCTACGTGGACATTTCTAATTAAACATTTTAAGTGATCTGTGAAAGAGAAATTTCCCTTCCTGAATCAATGGAATAGATGTAAGTGTGTTCCATTTAAGTCAGAGAGGAGAGAGGCAAGATTCTGTTAGGCTCACCTTCTTTAAGGAGTGGTTCAGGTTACTTGCACCTCTTTGTTTACTGTGGGCTAATAATCAGTGAGACCCCCACTTGTGCCACTGTATCTGCGTTTGGACAGATATTTTCATCATCCTCTCTTACTTCTACCACTTGGCTGTAAACTATACTTTCTTAGAATTTCATCCCAGAAATTTGTTGTCATTCGTGGAGGTCCTAAGTATTCCCTGAGGGACCAGATAAAATTAGTGTTTCCTACTATCTGGTTAAAAAATGGCTTTAGGTGGAATCTTACCGTGCCTCTCTGTCTGTCCAAAGCAGACCAACTGATCCAAGAGACTCAGGTGAGAAACCATCATTAGAACTAAGTGAGTTTGGTTAGGTCGCAAAATGAATATACAAAACTCAGTTATTTTCATATAGAGGCAATTTGAAGATATAATGGAAGCAGAAATTCCATCACAATGGCAAGTATATATGTGTGTGTGCATGTGTGTGTGTGTGTATACATGCGCCTGGGAATGAATTTGACAAAACTGTACAAAACTACAAAATCTATAAAAAGATCTAAATATTAAATTTGAATAAATACAAGCTATATGGTGCTTATAGTTGGGATAGCCCTGTGCAATCCAGATATACCAGGTGTCCCAGATTTTTGTGCTCAGTTGTTTCTTTGATATGTGAATAAAATGTCTCTATTGCACGTACTGTCAAAAATCTAACAGTTTCTCAGAAACCTCTAAGCATTTCTAGAGATGCCTAAGGGGCTTACATTCCCCTTGATCAATATAAACAACTGTTTCTCTGCTCTCCTGTTACTTAATCATTTATGTATTCATTCATATGTTTACTCACTTTACAATTGAGTGCTTACTATGTCCTAAGTCCTCCACAGATGCCCACTAACCATTGCTTAGGACTCCTGTGGCACCTTCCTGTTCCTGGTCACCCTTATCTTGAGATGTAGTTTCTGTTCTATCATTGCCCAGCTGAGCACCACTAATACAAGACTATTTTGCATGAAACTTTTGCTGAGATTTTGAGGGTACTCATGGTGGGAAAGCATTGTGGCGGAGAATAGGTGTAGTGTATAAGTAAAAACAGCATAAAACAAGCAATAAAAAATTTGATACATTTTAAAGTTTATGGGTCATCCTAAGGAATTTCTCATGTTATCTTTTATTCTTAGGTCCCACCTACTTCTTTCTTTTGGAATTGCTCTTTTTCTGTGTCTCTCCATGTCTTGTATAATCTCTGCAGCCTCTGATTTCTGGACTGATTAACCCGTCTTTCCTAGCTTTTTGGAACTGAAGTCTTATTACAGAAAATTATAAAGAGAAAAATTTTAGAGAATTATAAAGAGAAAAAATTTATCTCTTTCTCTACCTCTTCCTCATCTAGATCACGCTTAGGGTGGTAGGTGGGGTTCTACATAGTCATTGAGCTATGGTGCATACACCCCAAAAAAGTGCTTCTTACTCTCTGAAAAGAATTCTTCTGATCTTCAGAGCTACAGCTTTTAAAATGTTATCTTTCTTCTCACCACACTTGGTTTTGAAGAGATCAAGTCTTTAAAGCAAGTGGAAGATAATTGCAACTATAATACCAATGATATTTTTTCCAGAATTTAATAAAATGATAAAGTTAGTTTAGGGGAAAAACATTCAGAGAACAAGATAAATCTTAAAAGAGTAGTAATGGAGGACTAACTTTACCAAGAGCTTAATTTAAACAACACATATTGTTATAGTGGGAGAATGAGCAAACGGAGATGTAAAATGTAACACAAAGTCCAGAAACATATCTAAAATAAATAAAAATATCAAAAGAAAATACAGGCAACTGTTTATGTAATCCTGCACTAAGGAAGGCCTCTCTAACCATGACTGTGTGTGTTTGTTTCTGTTTCTCATTCTTATAAAAAGGGGGGGAAGCATGTTTTACAACATGGACAGGCCTAAGAAACATTATGCTGAGTAAAAGAGCCAGATACAAACTATACATTTTATATTATTTATGTGAAATATACAGAATGAGCAAATCTATAGTTGTTTAGTGGTTGCCAGGGACTGGGAGGAGGGGAGAAAGGAAATGACTGCGAATAAACTTAGGAGTTTTGAGGTTTTGTTTTTCAGTTTTATTTGTTTTTTGGTTTTTGTTTTTTGCTTTTTTAGAGTGATGAAAAATGGTCTGGAATTAGATATTAATGGTTACACAACTTGAATATACTAATGACCACTGAATTATATACTTCAAAGGCTGAATTTTATAATGCATGAATTATATCTTAACAAAACCATTTGAAAGATAAATTAGTTTTACTTGAGGTATTATGAGAAAATAACCCAGCATGCCAGTAGAGAGTCATTAAAGTGTTAAAGAAAAGGATATTCAGTGACATTTGTTAAAGATGGTGAGTCAGGCTCTAGTCAGGGTAGGTATGGGGAGCAATGCAATGGGATTTTATAGTGGGGGAGAGAGATTGGGCTCAACTGCAAATACGGCTTAGGCAGGTGGCCATTTATAGCCAGTGATTGGTGGGGGAGGGTGGTCAGTGGATAGAAAATTACTAAGAGGAAACATCAGGGGTAAATGGTTCTGGCTAAACTAACCTAATAAGATTCTTGCTAAAGACAGGCCAGGGTAATTACCACCTAGTGTCTGATGGAGGATAAGGAACCTGATCAGATATTGAGAGTAGAGGGTTCTAGTCAAACTGATTAGCAGTTTGCTAATCTAGGTCTTACTAAAAACTAGGCTTTATGAGGAAGTTCATGAATGGACTTAGGAGAAGGTTTAGGAACCTTAGTAAAGAATCTATGTCCAAAAAAAAAAGGAATCTTTGTCAAATGTGAACTAAAAATTTTAAAAATACGAATGATTAATAAACTTATAAAATGCAAACTAAAGCAATGAGATGAAATATTTGCTATGTACTGGGAAAGATATGAAGAAATTATCAATTTCCAACATTGGGTAGATTGTAGTCTAATAAATAGCCTCATATACTGGTACTAATGAAGGGTAGTTTGGCAGTATATTTCAAAAGCCTTAAATAGGGTCCTTGTAATTCCATTTCTAGGAATTAACCTTAAGGAAATACTGTGTGCCATTTAAAATAAAGTAGTAAAGTAATAGTAACACAAGAAGATTTTTCTGCTAGGAAGAAAAATTAGAATGTACAATAAAGAGGGCACCTGGCTGACTCAGTAAGTAGAGTATATGACTCTTGATCTCAGGGTGGTAAGTTCAAGTCCCACACTGAGCATAGAGCCTACTTAAAAACAAAAAATATAATAGATAAAATGAGACAGACCAATCGAAATGCACATTGAAAAGCTGCAGAGATAGGTAATTTGTATTTTCTTATATATTATCTCTATTTCATTTAGCTGTATTTTCCAAATATTCTGAACTGGATTATCCTTTATAACCAGAAAATAATGGAAAAGTTATTTAACATGATACAATTTCAAGTGTGGTTAAGCTTTTTGGGTTGTTTTGTTTGGTTGAACACCATAACGGAAATAAGATTAGGAATTTTTTTTTGTTTCTCCTGTTTAAAAACTAGAGAGTCAGGAGGTGTTAATTGGAAGTCCTCAAAAGTTCCTAAGTCAGACTCTCACTGTCTAGTTGCCCATGAGTTTCCTTTAGTATATGTATAGTTTTCAGGATTTAACCAATTGATGAACTGGTATTTATGTAACAGACTGTTGTAAATTAGACTACAGTATATCCTCTTCAAGATTTTCCTCTTCAAATCTAGGGATTTTAGGCTTTACAAACAGGATCATGTTGAGTGGAATTCTTTCTGATTTGTTGAATTGAATTATGTTCACCAGATGTAACAATTTTCTTTTCCCGATTTCCTAGACAGAATCATGAATAAACTGGAGGACAAGCAGGACCAGATGATACCATGAAGAGAAGTTTACAGGCCCTCTATTGCCAACTATTAAGTAAGTTGATATCACTTTTCTTTTAGAATATAACCCATTAATTGTCCAGTGCCAGAAACTTAAGCATTTTCTTGAAGAAGACCAGGTTTTGCTCAATAGAAAATTTTCCCTCTGCTTCATCTAGATACTTAAAGTATCAAGCATTAAGTCATTTTATTGCTTTAGGCATCAGTTGTAATGTAGACTGTTATAATAATCCTAAATTGGCAGGTTAAGAATAGTTAATTCAAGGATGAGTGTCAAAAGCATTATTGCTCCTGGTTTTGTGGCAGAATAAAATGTTACAGTATGAGCTTCTGTAGCTTCCTTATGGAGAAGGAATGATAGATGGTGTTTTCTGGATTTTGTCACATAGAAGCTATTACCATTCGGTGACTGTACAGCCTTTGGCTTGGAGTATTTTGCTTAGTTATGTGTGTTCTTAAATAATGAGTGTTAAAAATGTGATTTCTTTCGGTTTGATGGTAGAATGAAAAAATGTTTGATTATGACTTCATGCATGTTGCTCATGTGTTTTGGAGGTTATGCCACAAATCTCCAGATGCCGCAGAGTGACTGTATAACCTTTGGGATTGCAATTGTTACTGAATGAACATCAAAACCAATACCAGCTGGTGGGTTTGATGTTCAGGTTCACTCACTTGGGACAATAGACATTGTCCACATCAGGTTAAACCAAAGCCACTGAGTTGAAAAAATTCCAGGAAAAACTTGGAGTTCATTCTGCTTGTCTGGTTCTTGCTGAAGTATATAGAAGATCTATCTTTCCTAGACTGGATGGTTCCTTTTTAACTTTTGCCAAGAAAATAACATAAGAGATTGAGATTCAAATCACCAGTTCCCCCTTAAAATTTATTCGTTCAGATTATGTTGCACCCCCAGTGCAAAGCAGTTTATGTATAGAAGGCATTCTGGTTAAGTGTTTTAATTAGCTTATTTCTGCCACTGAATTCTAATCCCTGAAACACAAATCATATCACCCTGTTTTCAGACTGTTGAAATGTCACCACATTATATGGACTCTCTCATGTTCTTTTCTCCACGCATCCTATAGAACTGTGGGTTTGTTGCCCTTTTTTAATGGTAAACTTGCTTGTCAGGAAAAAGGTTTTATAGATTAAAGAAGCAATGTCATCACTGAATAATTAAGTCTGCCTTGATGGGAGAGTGGACATTTGAAGGTTAAATAGGATTACACACACACACACACACACACACACACACACACACACACACATATACACACACATACACACGCGCGCACGCGCGCGCACACTCTATCCCTACCCAAGAAGGGGAAGCAGGCTTTGCAGGAGGAAGAAACAGGAAATGAAAGAGAGTTTAGCAGATTAGGAAAGCAGCAAAATGTTTGTTGAGTTCACCTATGCTGATTGTATGCCCCAAACTTTGTGTAATGTTATAACGTCTATAAGATTTGAAAGGCTTTGGTTAAGTATTCCATGAGTCAGAGAGAGATCAAGTCTTATGCTAATGAGGCCCATCCTCCCAAGTGGAGCCTATGTGAAAACTGAAGGGGTTTTGCTCAAACATTAACTGGATATCTATATAAATCACTGTCTTAACAGTTTCATTGTTTGCAGCCTTGCCTGGAAAGCAAGCAGCCCAGCGTAGGTATTCCAACTAGTTAGGAGGTAGGTTGTGGTGCCTCTTAAACCACCCTGGTTATTAGGTAGCTGGCTGTGGGAGTCCAGATTTGTAGAGCTGGGATGGTCAAGCACTGGGGCTGTAGGTCAATTAGTCTCACTTCAGGGAGTGTTTTTCACAATTTCCTAGAGATGAGGGGTCGTTATGTATAGCACTTTTTTCTCAACAGAATTTGGTATTTAATAAAACCAAGCTAACTTAAACTCTGGCACACATAGGCACTCAGTAGTGGGTCTATGTCATTCCTCAGCCAGTTACTAAGTTACACTTGGATTAGAGCTGTCCACAAACAATATGTTTGTTTGTTTTTCCGGTGTCTGAAACAGACTTGAGAACTACAGGGTCAATATAAACTTACTATGTTACTTTATGTAACCCAACAAATTGAAGTTTTTAATTTGAGAGAAAATCCTGGTAGAGTGTTCTGGTTATATTTTATTGCATAACAAACAACCCCCAAATCTTGTAGCTTGAAGCAACAGCAATCACTTACATTGCTCAAGCACCTGCCATTTGGATAGGGGTTGGTAGAGACTCCACAGTGTCTGGGATCTGGACTGGAGGCTGGACCAGCCTAGGGCCCACCTAACATCTTTTTTCCCTGAGGCCTTTTCATGTGACAAAGTGGGGCTTCTTCACAGCGTAGTGGCTTCAGGGTAGTCAGACTTCTTACATGACAGCTCACAGCTATAAGGCAGGGCAAAACCTACAAGGCTTGTTATGAATTAGGCTGGGAAACCCAAGAGCAATACTTCAGTCATACTGTATTGGCCAAAGGAGTCACTAAGTCCATCCTTCATGGAGGGAAGAGGTATTGGACTCCAACTCTCAAAGGGAAGAACAGTAAGAATTTTTAGTCCTCTTTAGTCCACTATTGAATTTGTTTAGAAAAAAATGAAAAAGCAATTACTACTGAACATGAATGAGTTCGTGAGTTGTCTTTGTCATCAGAGTCTGCTCACACTTGAGTGCCAAATGAGTTCACAGACATCTGCTTATTAGCCTCCCTATATCATCTCATTCATTCCAGAGGCAAATGCTTCAAGATGAAGAAATGTTACTCAAACTGGCCCAGGGTGACTGAGTGATGGAATTGGAATTCATACCCAGGTTTCTCTGACCTCTTTGTTTATGCCCTTTTTTTTCCCATCGGGCCTGGTGCCTCCACCAAACACAGAAAAAAATCAGTGTGTGGCCCTTCTGCTGTCCCTGTGGCTAGTTAGGGGTGGTTCTAACCCCTGATTGATAATGCTTGCATCCTATTAGTGATGTCAGATGGAGCTTAGAAAGAAACAAAAAAAGAAAGAAAGAAAGAAAGGAAAAAAGAAAGAAAATCCAGGCTGTCTCTGGATTACTGCATCATAATCAATAGTCACTGGGGCTATTTGTGTCTGATAGGGGCTAAGGGATTCAGTCTTTGGTAGGCAGGGAAATTGAGGTCTTATTTTACTTTTATAACAACTGACTGTGTCTAATTTGTTTTATTTCTTGAGCTCTATCTCACAGTACAGTACTGTTTCATCCTGCCAGTTTTAGCCCTTTGGGAAAGTTTAACATATTTTATATGATACTTTGGAACAACTGAGAATTTGAGGATGAGGATGATGATGAGAACCTTCACAGTTCTGTAAAAAACAAATACTGCATACATTTTTCTTTTTTATGCCATAAGGTAGGTGTGAAGCTAATGCTAAGAATACCTGGGTTTTTGAGCTGCAGACCTGGGTTCAAATCCTAGCCCACTTAATAGGTGGCTTATATTAAATAAATTATTTTACCTCCATGGACCTCATATGTAAAATGGGATATGACCACCCACTATGTAAGATAGTGTTGAGTGAGATAACACAGCACATAGAAGACCTGCAATAAATGCCATTTTTCTTATTAGGCCTTCTGTCTAGAAGAGAGGGGTACAACCTAACCAGGAGCTCTGCTGTAACATTTACATGGAACTTTCTGGTTCACAAAACATTTTCATAGAATTTGATCCTCAGAATACGTCAGAATATCAAAACAAATGGGACATTAATTTTCATTAATCCCATTCTGCAGAGAAGGAGTTGACATAATCAAGACTGCTTTTCCCAAGCCATATCACATTTTTTTAATTAAAAGAAGTAATAATGGAAAGTAAGAAGGATCATCACAAACCTTAAAGAACATGACACTATGGGGAGGCACTAAGTCCCGAGTTAGCCAATCTGATCTCTTTCTAGGTGCTATATACCATGCTACTTTATTGTTAAGAAGACTCAAATAATTATGGGTTTATGAAAGTAAATTTTTATATACCGATATCTATTCAAACCAAAGTTGTTTGGATACTCAGAGTTAAGGAGTGATTATTTAGTTAGTTAAGTGTTGCTTTATACTCAGCCATTTATATTTCTTATATCATGCTCTGTATTATTATTAATGCATCTTGCTTGCTGCTGCATGCTCTGCATATAGTGGACTAACTTAAGTTGGGTCATGTATCTGTCTTCATGGGTTGTTTCTCCTGATAAATGAGAAGAAATTTTTCCCTGAGAGTGAGGAGGGGGAGTTGATGTAAATCATAAATTCAGGTCAGTGTAGGTCCAAACCAGTATTGACTCCAAAAACTTAGGCTCTTCTAGATGTTCCAGGCAATCATAAACATATTGCATTATGAATGCACATGAAATGAAGGATCTTCATCTCCCCCACCACCTTTCAAGGTGTCTTCCCTTGCCTTTTACACTGCTTGTTCATAACCTCCCCAGAGAGTAACAGTGTGGCAGCCATGATTAAGGGCTTGGATTCTGCATGGACTGCTTGGGTCCAAATCCTGGCTGACCACAAATTCTTTTCCAAATGATTTTCACCCCTCCTTACAAAACATAGCAGTTGAGTGTGCCTTCACTGCCAATAGCTATTGGATTGTCTGTCCACAACCTCTTGCAAATCTGTCACTCTTGAAGCTACTAAAGACTGCTCTTGAGGAAATAAAAGAGCATGTCCTATTTAGTAACAAAGAGCAATTTATCAGTCTGCTGTTTCTCTCATGCTCCCACCAGTGGCTATAATAATGGTAATGACACATTTGGTCTTCAGTCAGCATTATGGAAATGGAGGAATCTGTTTCATCAGAACTACTGTTCAGTATTTTAGGCTGGATTATTCTGATTGGCTTTCATCAGTGTTTCTCAAATCTGACTTTTGACTAGAATCACCTGGGAAGCTTTTAACAAATTCCCTTTCTCAAACCCTACCCTATATCAATTAAATCAGAATCTTTAGGGGAAGGAGTGGGGAGAGTGTGGTGACTGGGCATTAGATGATTCTAATAAGCAGCCAGGGTTGAGAATCAC